TAATCTAAGTGCCCAAGCAATGTGAAAAGGCAGCGTCGAAGCTTGTAATTCCAAACCTGCAAAGAGAAATCCAACTAAGGAATAGGACATATAGGTCATGAACCTCTAAAAGGCTCAGGTCTCTCAATAAACAAATTTAGACTTACATTTGGCATTTCTAAATAGGTAGGAACCTTGATACAGAGTCTTGTTTAAGGTTAGAGGCAAAAAGACCAAGAATGAAGATATGTATCAGCTAAACAATATATGGGGAGTTAAAAAATGCAAGGCTAGTAGAAAGCCTAAAGATTAAAATTGTGGAAATATTTTTCCTTTCTTTGGGGAGAAAGTATCTCCACTTAACATGAGATAAGATGATCTATATCCAGGGTTTAACTTATAACTTCTTTTGACTGCATACTGAATTTGAATACAGACCCCTAAGTGCTTTGCTTATCACCTTAGCTGAAGAGCAAAAAAAAAAAAAAAAGAAACAGATACCATGACTCCAAAGGAAGGAATACTATAACACACGATGGCATCATCTTCTCTTATACCCCTAATTTGATGGTAAATGATGCTCATACATTCATGGTCTGTTCTCATCTATCACACAGGTTTTAACTTATTCCTATGGGAAGTACTATGTTACTCAGGTTGAGCTAAGCCAAAAAAAAAAAAAAAATCATATTTAGACAAGCTGAGCCATCTACCAAAGTACCAGGCATCACTGGATACAACTGAAGAGGATAAAACCAGGACCATCTAGATAAGACAGCTTATGCTCCCTATCCAGAAAACATCTCCAAAGGTGCAAAATCAAGACACTTTTTTTTCTTCATTAACATTAACACTTGTTTGTAATCTATCCAAGCCAACTGTTACATTCATTTTTTATACTTAAAAAATTTTAATTTTCTTTTATATATTAGAAAAAAATGCTATCATTTCCTGCAACAAATGTGAACCACCCAGAAGTATGATTACCCAAAGAAGAATGTAATCTCCCTAAAGGCAAGGTCGTTTGTCCACCATGTTCAAATATATGCTGAGCACCTAGCATAGTGATTAACACATACTAGGTGCTCAATAGGTGTGTGTAGAAATAAGTAAAGGTGAATATTGGTAACATGAAAAGTGAAGCAGTCAACACCTTCACCATCACCTGCTGAATCATCTATAAATATGTATATACACTGTGGAGTTTGAGTTTCACACAAAAATTAAATCATACCACAAATAGCTTTTTCCTTCTCTGTAGAGTTCAGTGCTTTGAAATTTCATATTTCTCACTTCAAGCTGTCTTTTCTCCTATATGGTCCTCTAACAAACTCCAGAACAGTGAATCCTAAAAAACCTATAGGGTTTTAGACTCTGGCCATTTGCTGATCTTGCCATCTTACTCTTTGTAAATTAAGACTGATTATTCTAATTCTACATTAATCTGGATACAGCAAACAATATTATGATGTACAAACATAACTTTTCTAGATAATCTTCCTTTCATCAGAGAAATAAATTAAAACCACAGCGTAGTAACATTACATATCCAGTAGCTAGCTAAGACAATTTCTTTATGTAAAAACAACTTTATGGAGATGTAATAAAGGCCAGAGGTGTGGGGAAGGGAGGGTGAGAGGATTCACCAGAGACAGAGTGGGGGAACAGGCAGACTGACTGAAATACACCACTGAAGGGAGCAATGGGCGAGTCAGGAGAGGTCTGCTACGCCATGTGGGTTAGCTCCCTGGCGGGGGATTGAACTCATGCTGCAGTGGCTGCAGATAGCTTGTGCCACCAGGGTGGCCCCCAGTCATACCTTAATCTTATAGTCATCTCCTCCAGAAACAAACAATGGTTGCTGCTTATGGAAGTCAATGCCTCGCACTGGACCTGGAAAGAAGAAAGGCAGTGGATATTAAAGAGAGCCCTACTCCCTACTCTGTAAGGTGATCCTGATGGAGGATTTTTCAGTTCTACCCCTCCATATTTGTTAACCCCAATGTAACTAATGCCAAACAGGATCAAGCTACTCCAGAGACACTATTTATATCTCTTCAAATTTCTTACTAGAAACTGTTATCTTACCATCATGTTCATCAAACTTGTCAATGAGGGTGCACATCCGATAGTCCCATAACTGGATGACCCCATTGTGTAAACTTGTCAGGATCCAGGGCCTTTTGGGGTGAAAACTGAGCCCTGCAACAAACAGGAGAATGATACAATGAGTGTACTAAGCCCCACAATATCACCTGTTAATTCTAGTAAGAAAAAGTAACGACGAGGTTAACCCTAGGTTCATGTATTCACTGGCTACCAGACATTGTGAATTTCATGTCATCTGAGGCCGGGTTTTTAATATATTCCTATAAACACTGTTGGGCTTTGTTTTAGGAATTAAGTTATTTGGAATCAGTTGATCCTTTAAAGACTTGCTCTAAGGTTTGATAGGGTGGGTCCACAGCAGTACTTAGGTTTAATTTGACAATGCTCATCTGAAATCTCTACATGATGACCCATAGTATCAGGAGATCTTTTCATTCTGGTAGTAGGAACTCAAACTATTCCCAGTCCTCTGTGAGCTCCAGGAATTGTTCTGCTTTCTCTTCTTCAGTGGTTCTTTCCCAGGCTTTGGGTGGTTTCCTCACATGAACAAGGAGATCACTACTCAAAGGTTTTTTCATTAAACACTTTACATTAAACACAATTGTTCTGTTTTTTTTTTTTTTTAGAATGATGATTCTGTAGAAGAACTGGGGTATGGGCTAGAGCTACAGGTGGTAAAAGGATTCCCCAGAGACAGAGTGGTGAGCAGGGCAGGCGGATTTAGTGAAATACACTGCTAAGGGGAACAGTGATGTGACAGGACAGGTCTGCTGCACCATATGTGGGAAAGCTCCCTGGCCAGGGATCAAACTCAGGTCGCAGCTAGTGACCTGATAGTGCTACGACTAACACCTAGGCCACCAGGGAGGCCCAGCATAATTCTTCTTCTAAACTGTCCACTTTTCCATTAAGTTGTTCATTTTTTCCATTACAGTATATAAGAACACTTATTAGTGGACACTGACTCAAATACTACGACGTCCGCCCCCCCCACACACACACTGCCGACAAGACATTAGGAACAGAAAACTCAAGGTTCATGAAGAGTCATTTGCAACCATCCAGAAATCTTTAGTGACACTAGTCTTACAATCAAGGTTCCCACAGAACTCAGAATCTATTCTCACATTAATAATGGCTTCCAGGGGCCTCCCTGGTGGCGCAAAGGGTTAAGATGCAACTTATGAAGCTACCTGCAGCTACTGCAGCATGAGTTTGCCCCCTGGCAGGGGAGCTACCCACATGGGGCAGCAGACCTCTCGTGTCTCGCCTGCTGCTACCCTCAGCAGTGCACTTCGGTCAATCTGCCTGTTCTGTTCCCTACTCTGTCTCTGGTGAATCCTCACACACACATCCCCACACACACACCTCTGGCCTATACCCTAGTACTTGTATGCATATATAAATAAATCTTTTTTAAAAAAGTGATGGCTTCCAGGGGCCTCCCTGGTGTTGCAAGGGATTAAGTCTCAGGATTATGAAGCTATCCACAGCCACTGCAGCACGAGTTCCATCCCCGGCCAGGGAGCTACCCACATGGTGCAGCAGGCCTCTCCAGTCTCGCCCACTTCTCCCATCAGTAGTGTATTTCAGTAGATTTGCCTGTTCTGCTCCCCACTCTGTCTCCGATGAATCTTCTCACCTCCCTGCACCTCTGGCCTACACCGCAGCTCTTGCATACATAAATAAATCTTTAAAAATGGCTTCCAGTTTTTGGGTTACTCATTCTACACCAGGCACTATAATAAGTTTTTCTCATATACCCCCTCATCTTGATTCCCTCTGTAAGAGAATGTTGCTTATTCACATATTACAAATGAGGAGACAGATTTAGAAAGGTTAGGAAAGTCACTCAAGGTGAGTGAACATTTAGTTTGTTAGTAAACATTTCAGGATTCCAAAGCAGGTCCATCTGACTTCAAAGACCAAGTTCCTAAGCACTTTGCTATGCCACATACTAAACATTTGAATATTTAATATTAGCAATTATTGATATTACTAGTATTGACTATAGACTATCACTAAATATTCAAGGCATGTATTTTTTCCAAGTTTAAGGAGATCTTATTTCTCTGCCTTTTCCATTCTAATATTCCAAGAGATTAACCCCATTTGCCCTCTACTCCCATTCACTGATACTCAAATTCTAGAGTTGTCATATTTAAGTAAAAACAAAGATGCCTAGGTAAATTTTAATTTCTGATAAACAATGAAACATGCCAAAATCTATGTGCTGTTTATCTGAAACAGATTTAATTAGGTGTGCTATATTTTATCTGGCAACTTTATCAATCTCAGACCTCGGAGTTACAGGCTTCAACGTCCTATTAACAGTGGAAACAACGTATCCTGATGCGGTGCAGCCAGGGCCCCATAGAGAGAGACGGCAAGTGCTGGACTCCAAAACTGTTACTGACTTGGATCGAAAGGCAGACGTCACCCCTCACAGCCACCCCTCACAACCCCCTAAGGCGACTCCCCACTTCGCGGTCACCGGTCCTGGGAAAAAAACAAGGTTGGAAAATAGGCCCGGGAAGAAGGGGAAGAACCGGAGGCGGACCGCGGGGTCCACACTGGGCGGATACTACCCGAATTAGGGGGTCTTGCCGGGGGTCCCACGGAAACGCCGGGAAAAAGGCCTTCCTCCCGCGCCCTTTCCCCTGACAGCACGTCCCGGGCACCCAGCCTCTGGCTTCCCCTTCGTCCTCGCCGCTACCTTTGACTCGCGCGCTCTTGGTCTCGAACTTGGTTAGCATCTCGCCGGCCTTGGCTCCGAGGGGCTAAGCCGAGGCGCCGCCGCCCCGCTGGACTCCGCTACCCTCCACGTCAGCGCCCTCCGTGCCGGAAGTTCCAGACACAGACTTCCGGGTCCTGAGTCCCGGCCACAGAGACGTCGGGTGTGTCCTAGAGAGGCCTGCAGCCCGGGGACCGCCGCTTCCGCTCCGAGAGCAAGATGGCCGCAGCTGGGGGCGGCTCCACGGCCAGCTGGGGCAGTTGTGGCCTTCGCCTTCTGTCATTCTGCGTCCTGCTGGCAGGTGAGGCTCCCCGCTGAGAACTCACTCTGTGAAAAGCTCCTACTGGCTCACCGCAGCGCCATCCCGGCTGGTCCCTTGGCCCCCCCAGTTCCCCGCCCTTAACTTCCCTGTCTCTTTCGTTCCCGCAACTGAAGTTCCCCAGTGGCCTGTCCCCTTCTCCTGCGGAGCGCGACTTGTCCTCTCTTCCTCCAGCCCTCTTGCCGCCTCCAGCCAACTGCCCCATTGTGTTCAGGCCCCTTCTCGCCCTCAGCACAACTCCCCGTGAGTCCAGCGCCTCCTTATCCCCTTAGTCCTAGCACCCCACCCGCAATCACAAAGACAGGTGTCTGGGTCCAGCGTTTTCCCAGCAGTGAGGTTTTAAGGGGAGTCCCTAGTTTGGGGGCTACAGCCGCTTCAAGGGGTTGGGTCCTTGTTCCTTCTCTCTTCATTCCACCTAAACTGGCATACTGGCCTCTGCCTCCATGGGTAAAGTGAACCTGAGGTGGGGTATGGCCACTTTTAGCTGTTCAGAAGTGAAATAAGGGAGGAGGTTATCTCTGTGTGCTGTTTGCTTGTTGCACACATCGTTTTGCCTTTCTCGTTGTTGAGACCCTAAAGTGCAAACGTGGCTATAGATAACTGTGACTGAGTCTCCCCAAATTCACATCTTCTTTAAAAATCCCAAAAGGAGATGCTGTAGGTGCCCCACAGTGACCTCACGAAGTGACATGCTGATGTTAGATTATGACAGGTGTGTTCACACTCATGGAAGAATGCCCCAGGAAGATTTTTGTCATGATTTCTATTCTTAGAGTGGCATCTGTATCAGCTTATTAGTAATATACATATTACTAGCATACCAATTTACATACTACTGCAACATTGCAGTTGTCCATGCGACGAGAAGCTGCAAGTTAAATGCCTTTCTTTTGGCAAATCAAGTTTTCTCTCTTTTATCTTCTTTGTCAGTTACTGTGTGCAATTCTTAGTAACTCTGTGAGGCACATAAATGGATGAATGTATCTGTTCTTAATTGTGTGCCCAGAAGTGGGAAGAATGGGCATCAGCCCCATTTTAGAAATTATGATATTGAATGATATCATCGTTGAGGTGAGCTAGTAACTTCTACTGATGGTTCAGTTTCTTCTAACATTTTTTCCTCTTCTGATCAGGTTTGTGCTGGGGAAACTCAGTGGAGAGGAAGATCTACATCCCCTTAAATAAAACAGCTCCCTGTGTTCGTCTGCTCAATGCTACTCATCAGATTGGCTGCCAGTGTGAGTTGAAGTTGGGATTTGTGTTGTGCCCATTGATATTTCTGTCTGTGCCCTATACATTAAGATCCAAGTTGTGCCTTGGAAATCTCAGCCACAAATTAGACTCTATAGGTTTGAAGTGATAAAGAACCTTCTGTCAAACCAGGCAAGATCATTAAACTGCCCACTCAGCACCTTACACATGCATCTTGTTTAACCTGGCAGCCCATGAAGTAGCTGCTCTTGCTATCCACTTTATAAACAAGGAAACAGAGAAGGAGGGTGTCTTTTCCCAGGTCATTTTGGTAATAAGTGATGAAGCTAGGATTAGCGCCCCAGTGATCCAAGTTCTAAGACAGTATTTTTTTTTTTAAATAGAGGCATGTTTTTATTTATTTATTTATTTGTTTGTTTGTTTTGTTTATACAAGCACTGGGTACAGTCAGAAGCGCGGGAGGGTGAGAGAATTCACCAGAGCCAGAGCAGGGAGCAGAGCAGGCAGAAGGACCGAAATACACTGCTGAGGGGAGCAGCGGGCGGCAGGAGAGGTCTGAGCGCCATGTGGGACCCTCCTCTGGTGGCCGGGGAGCAGCTGGGGATCGAACCGGCGCCGCGGAGGCTGCGGGCAGCTTCGCAACCCAGCGCTCTACCGCTGCGCCACCGGGGAGGCCCGACAGGATTTTTTTTTTTAAGATTTATTTATTTTTATGCAAGAACTGGGGTACAGGCCAGAGGCATAGGAGGGTGAGAGGATTCACCAGAGACAGAGCGGGGAGCAGAACAGGCACTCGGGCCGAAATACACTGCTGAGGGGAGCAGTGGGCATGACAAGAGAGGTCTGCTGTGCCATGTGGGTATCTCCCTGGCCAGCCGGCTGGGAATTGAACCCGTGCTCCAGAGGCTGCGGACAGCTTCACAGTGCTGCGCTCAACCCGCTGCACCACTGGGGAGGCCCCTAAGGTAGGATTCTTAACCACCCAGTAGGTCAAGTAAAAAACTATCCTGTTTTTAATGCAGAAAGACATTTCATATCCCACTGCCCCCACTCATCTTTTTGGGATGAAATGTGCTTTTGTAAGGCCATTAAATGAACTGTTTGAAGAGAAGGCATTGAGAAAATCATATAGTTGCAAGAGGAATTAGTGAAGTGTGGGGACTTGTTTTTATGCTTTGTAATGTGCTCCAAATCAGGGTATCATCACAACATGGCTATAAAACTATAAAAGGAGGGAAAATTGAGATCTGAAGGCTGAATCCCATTCCCTCTGCTGCTAATCTGCTGTCTTCAGACTCAGTTCTTCTGGGGATAGAAGCTTTGTCAGAATGTAGCTTTGTAGGGAGGCAGGAACTTAAGGTCTGATCGTGGTTTTTTCATCATCAAATTGGTCTCTGAATTTCAGTTTACTTTTGTAGAAATGGTTAGACTATACCTGTACCACACTCAAAATCAAATTGCCTTTTATTAGCTGTTTGGTGAGGATGCTGAGTGCTTAATGTGGACTCACCAGTACTGTATGGTTGTCTGAACCTCTGCACTTAGAAGAAGAAAACTAATACTCTGGAAGTGAAGGGCTTGCTCATGGTGGTGGTTACTGCTTTTCTGCTTTCCTCCCCTGAACTTTGTACTCTGTTGATTATCTCATGTCCATGCCTGCTACAGGATGTGCTTGGGAGTAGGATATCTGGTTCCAAACAGCTCCAAGTGAAAGATTTGTTGGACTTGATTCTTGCACTGCATTTGTGGGTAGAAGAGATCTGTGTGGGCTGAGAGCAGACTGCTAATTTCGTTGGAGCACCAGTCTGGTGCTAAAGGGTAGGCCCCCATCCTCCTGGAGCCAGGCTCTAAGATTCCCCCTTTGGGGATGAGTCATGGACTATAATGTTCTTAGAACAACCATGAAAGTGTGCAAAGCAGCCTCTAGAAAATGAAACCAGGGGCCTCCCTCGTGGCGCAGCGGTTGAGCACTGGGTTGCAAAGCTGCCCGCAGCCTCTGCGGCGCCGGTTCGATCCCCAGCTGCTCCCCGGCCACCAGAGGAGGGTCCCACATGGCGCTCAGACCTCTCCTGCCGCCCGCTGCTCCCCTCAGCAGTGTACTTCAGTCCTTCTGCCTGCTCTGCTCCCTGCTCTGGCTCTGGTGAATTCTCTCACCCTCCCGCACTTCTGACTGTACCCAGTGCATGTATAAACAAAGAAACAAACACAAATAAATAAATAAAACATGCCTCTATAAAAAAAAAATATATATATTTAAAAAAAAAAAAAAAAAGAAAATGAAGCCAAACGCAGAGAAACAGGGGTGGGGCTGGACTCTGCTTCTTCATTAAGATCTTGTTTCCTTTTTAACCTGTTTATTGTAGGTCTGACTTTATCATATCTGTTTGTCCTGAGCAAGCCGTGCCCTCTTTAATTAGAGTTGCTAACGTGATAAATTGAGGAGAAAGATTTTCTGATTATAATGGCTTAATTTTTTATTATCATACCTTGTTTCAGTGGACCCTTTGAAAGTATGCAAAAGGAACAACGAGTAATTTTCCTTTCCTTCATTCATTTTATTTCCTTTTGTAATCTGTTCCCATGGTATGAGATAAATAGAGGTGGAAAAGTTGCCAGAGAAAGTAAGTATGGTGCTTGAGATGACACTGGCAGTGACTGGAACCGAGGTTAGACTCCAGGATTTTTCCGTCTATTGTCAGAGCTTGCTTTCCTCCTTGGAACTGAAGTTATATATATTTTATTTGCCAGGCTAGCTTTTCCTTTTCCCATGTTTTAAATGCTGTTGTTTTATTTACAACTGCCATTTGTAACTAGATTTTTACTGAAGTTATTCCAGTTTCTGATACTCCCCTGTAGCTGATTATCACTGCCAACATGAGCTTATTAAGTTTTGACTACATATAAGATTTAGTTGAAAGTTGGAGACCTGTTTCCATGTCTAGATTTTACCAGATGCCAAGGGAGAAAAATTCTAACTTTGCTGGCAGTTGAAAAGTACTTATGGGTTTTGTTTCATGTGTATTATGATTTTTTCAGTGCCTTGTTCTAGAGCCATAATTCTCATGCTGTGTATAATAAAGAACCACTGGTGGTGTGCTTTGAAAATACACATAGCTGGCCTCACCTTTTGAGATGTTAATTTAGTAGATGGAAGGTAAAGCCCAGGCATCTGTATTTTTTGAAACACCAAAATGATTCTGATACACAGCCAGGGTGAGAACTGCTGCCCAAAACAATTTATGAATGGCACCTCCTTTTTTGAGTGAGGAGAAGAGGGATGAACACAGATCTATCTCAAGGAAGTTGAGGGATGTTGTTACATAGAAGTCAAGACATTCTGAACCAGGGACATCCATCCTCTAGTGCAGTGCTTCCCAGTCTTTTCACATCAGAGACACACAGATGTTATTTGTATAGCCTGCTAGCCTGCTAGGAACATCCTAGCACATACAGAAAGGACATCCTGGGATAACGAACAAGGCTGCTCCTGGCTAGGGGTAACCAGACTTACCCGAAAAGGATGGGAGTCAGTAGTCACACATCTCTTAACTCATGCCAGGCCTATGAGTTAGGAAGCACTGTTTTCAAGATCTCAGAATTTTTGATTAACTTTACCTAAAACTGGCCCAAAGCAAGTAAAGTCATTTCCAAATAGGACAAAAGGAAGGAGAGGCAGGAAGGCTGCTAGGCCCGAGGAAATGTGCAGTTTTACAGTGGAAAATTCAGTCTAGAACTCCAAGCTAGAGGCCTAGAACCTGCCATTTCCTGAAGAAAATCAAGGTGTGAAAATTAGGAAAACACTTTGGCAAGACAGTGAGGATTAGAGAGCCTTTCTGACATTGAGTGAACAGACCTCTGCTGAGCAGTCCTCTTGAGCTCCTTTCCTTTGTCCCCCATTCTGTGGGGCAGTTCAGCCTTCAAGGGCAGAGGCAACTGCACTAGCCCCAGTGGATTGTGACATCCCTGGGGGATAAAAGGCCTGCAGAATCAGGGAGGCAAAATCAGAACTGTCACCTGTGAGAGTTTTACCCTCACTGTCTGTCCTGGCAGCTTCCATCAGTGGGGACACAGGAGTTATCCACGTGGTGGAGAAGGCGGAAGACCTGCAGTGGGTGCTGACAGATGGCCCCAACCCCCCATATGTGGTGCTGCTGGAGGGCACACTCTTCACCAGGTGAGACAGGAGTACCTGTAGGGGTGCACACATCCCTCACACAGAATGAATGAGTTTGAGTCCTGAGCTCAGATTGGGTCACCCAGAAGTTAGAGATTGGAAAGGTAAGAAACAAATCAAACCAGTGTGACATTGGTTTCCACTCTTAGGGCAGCATAGCAGGTTACCAGATACCTTCCTGTTTTTCTTCATGGTACTCCCTCCTTAATGTAGGGATCTGATGGATAAGCTGAAGGGGAAAAACACCCGAATTGCCGGACTCGCAGTATCCTTGGCCAAGCCCAGCCCGGCCACCGGCTTCTCGCCCAGTGTGCAGTGCCCCAATGATGGGTTTGGTAAGAGCCTTAGAGGATCAGGGGAACTGGTGTCACTTGAAGCTCATTGTTGCTTTGTGTGTGTGTGTGTGTGTGTGTCTTTATGTGTGTGAGCAGCTGACTCCCAAACAGAAGATGGTGTTTCTTAGTCTCTGCCACTCATGCCTTCCTTCTCCTGCTTCCCACTCCTCCGCTGACCTTCCCTCCTCCCTTTGTGGCACATGTGCAGACCCCTAATTGCACAGTCAGGGGCTCCCTATTACTAGTGCCTGTTTGACCATAGGTGAGATGCTTGCTTCTTTGAGTCAGTTCCTCTGGACCGCTTAGTCCCAATGCTGCCATTGCCTTAAAAGCTATGAGGTCTCTAAGTACTTGGTATCTCCTTCCCCCCTTCAGGCATTTACTCAAGCTCCTATGGACCAGAGTTTGCTCACTGCAAAGAAGTGGTGTGGAATACTCTGGGTGATGGCTTGGCCTATGAAGATTTTAGTTTCCCCATCTTTCTTCTAGAAGATGAAAATGAAACCAAAGTCATCAAGCAGGTAATGACTGCGTTGGCCCCAAGCAGCCCCAGTATTATTATCCAGGTTCTCCTGTCTGGGGGTCCAATCTACCAGTGTACCCTCTGAAAGACAGAAGCTCTATGAAGAGCAAAGACGCTTCTTTTCCCTCACCCTCCCCCCCCTTTGCCATTTCTCTCCAGTCTGGTATCATGGCATTACAGGATTTAGACTGAAAAAAATGTAAAGGATATTTAATGTGAGACAAGGTATATATATAACCCCTTGTTAAGAACCCCAGTCACGGCCTCCCTGGTGGCGCAGGGGTTAAAGTAGTGCTACCAAGCTATCACCAGCCACTGCAACATGAGTTCGATCCCCAGCCAGGGAGGTGACCCACATGGTGCAGCAGACCTCTCCTGACTCTCCTGCTGCTCCCCTCAGCAGTGAATTTCAGTAGATCTGCATGTTCTGCTCCCGACTGTCGCTGGTGAATCCTCTCACCCGCTGAGCCCCAGTTCTTATATGCGTACATGAATAAAATAAATTAAAAAAAAAAAAAACCCAATTAGGTAAAAAAGAGCAGCATTGGACTTGGAATTGAGAGAGTTGGTTCAGTAAGTTCTGAAGTTCCTTTAGCTATAATATTCTCTAATTCTGGTCACACTGCTTTGTTTTGACACATAGCAGTTAAGAGATTTGTCTAAAGTTACATGGTGAGTTGATTTCAAACCAGCTCAAATTTGGCTTTGGTCTCCAGTTCTGTGCACTTTATAGCCTATCACACTCGGAGCAGTGACTAAGGTCCAGACTGGGCTGGGCTGTTTGGGATGAGGGAATTCCACCCACCCCCACTTAGTCACCAAGTCTGCCCCTTCACACCTCCTGACAAGCTGTATCTTTGACCTTACAGCATTTGTGTTGTGTGTGGACAAATGTAGATCAGGGACAGATGTGGGCCTGGTTTAAGGATGGAGTGGGGCTCCAGGCTGCTGCTCAGTGGACTGTCTCCCTTGCAGTGCTATCGAGACCACAACCTGGGTCAGAACGGCTCTGCGCCCACCTTCCCCCTGTGTGCCATGCAGCTCTTCTCACACATGCACGCCGTCATCAGCACTGTCACCTGCATGCGGCGCAGCTCCATCCAGAGCACTTTCAGCATCAACCCAGGTGGGACGCCAGGGACCACCCAGGGAGAAGAGGGGGCTGGGCACCAGCAGGGCACACTGGGTAAAAGAGTAGAAGAAACAGTTCTGGGCATTGAGACAGTTTGTTGTATGGTTGGTGGAGGCTGTGGCAGAGCCAACCTGGAGCAGCAGAGGGAGAGAAGATGGCTCCTGGGGTGCTGGTCAGTGGGTCACAGGGGCCTTCCTGCTTTCTCTGTCTCTTACCCACCCTCTCCCTGTCCCCATCTCCCATTGACTCACTGTTTGTCCTGTTTAGAGATTGTGTGTGACCCTCTGTCTGACTACAACGTATGGAGCATGCTCCGGCCTATAAATACATCAGGGACCCTGGAGCCAGAGAACAGGGTTGTGGTTGCTGCCACCCGGGTGAGTGTTGGCCCTGACTGCGTGGCTAGGCTGCGCAGAAGGGCTGGCAGGCCTTCCTCAGGCCTATCAGGTTTCAGAGTTGCTGCCTGGGAGCCTTGGTGCAGTGGGGTGGGCTGTTGGCCTCTAGTCCTGGCAGTCATCCTAGCTAGTCACCCCAGGAAGTGTGTATTCTCTTGGCTAGCCAGGATGGTGAGTAGGGCTTGGTCCTAATTTCCATTTCCACATTGCCCCCTGCTTTTCTACACCAGTTGGACAGCCGATCCTTCTTTTGGAATGTGGCCCCTGGGGCTGAAAGCACAGTTGCCTCCTTTGTCACCCAGCTGGCTGCAGCGGAAGCTTTGCAGAAGGCCCCTGATGTGACCACCCTGCCCCGCAATGTCATGTTTGTCTTCTTTCAAGGGGTAAGGGTGCTGGGGTGGGGGTAGGGGCTGGATAAAGTGGGAGTGGCTGTGACTTCTCATCACTGACCCAAGTTGTTACTCAGCTGAGAGCTTCTATACCCATCTTCATATGTTTCCCTTCAAGTCCCCCATTTCAAACACTTGTGCCCTGACCTGGAGTTGGTGGACTGCCAGCTCTCCCTCCCCCTTAATAGAATCTATTTTCAGTATCTTTTTTTATTCTCTGGACCCCTTTACTGGCACCTTCACCCAAGATCCCCAAGGCTCTTATCCCTCCACTGGACCCCTCCAGCCTGGCCCAGAATAAGGAAAAGCAGTCCTGGCTGCATTGGCGGGTAGGGGAGAATCAAGGGGCGTGGAACAGCTGATATCTGCCTCAGGCTTTGACGGAGGCCGCCCTCATCATTCTGGGCTCGGGAAGCCCTGTGATGCATGTGTGAGGGACAGTCCCAGCTGGACAGTGAGAGGGGAAGAAAGCTGGTCACATGACTGAGAGCCGGCCAGCAGTGAAATGCCATGAGATGCAGCCTTCAAAGCTTTGATGGTCTGACCTTAAGGAACCACAGCTGCCCTGACCCTCTGGAATCTGTCCCTCCCCCAATCTCTACCCTCAGGAAACATTTGACTACATCGGTAGCTCAAGGATGGTCTACGACATGGAGAAGGGCAAGTTTCCTGTGCAGCTGGAGAACATCGACTCCTTTGTGGAGCTGGGACAGGTGGGCAGCCCAGGTCCTCTGTCCTCCTTCCACATAGAGGTCCTCCTTTGTTCTGTTGTCCGTTCTGCAGGTATCACCTCCTCTTCCTTGACTCCTCTTCTGAGCCCACTCCTTTCTCCCAGGATGGGCTAATACGGGGGACTGAATATAAATGTGGCTTCTTTATCCTCCACCCAGGTGGCCCTAAGAAATTCACTAGAGCTTTGGATGCACACAGACCCCATGTCTCAGAAAAATGATTCTGTGCAGAAGCAGGTAAACTGAGCATCTCTCCTCACTGTCTATTCAACATTTGGGAATGGGAGCACCATGCCCACCAGGGCCTGTGAGACAGCACTCTAGGTTGGGTGTTGGGTAAAGGATGGACAGTATGGCTGCTCCAACTCCTCGACAGACTGTGAGCTCAGCAGCATCATTTCTTGGGATGGGCAGCTGTCTGATGGGCCTGTGCCCATTAAGGACTGTCATGGTCCCTTTCCTCCCTGCTGCCTGGAAATCCCTACCCATTGCCTGGCCATGCCAGCCCCACCATTCTCACTGCTGTTCGAGACCCTTCCTGCCCTCACATCTAGCTTCAGAAAAGCCTGTTTCCCTCCATGGGCACCACCCTATCTGGACTCCTGTGCAGCATCAGCACAGTGTTGTCCACTGTTTGTATCTAGTTCTGCACAAGAGACAAGTGATGTGTCCATGAAGCTAGGATAAACCTGGGAACAGCGGGTTTACCTACAGAGATGAAAACACAGGTTTTAGCCTTCTTTGTGCATAGTTTCCTACCCTAGAAAGGATGGTGAGAGCTACAGGAATTTTAGAATCCTGATTCCCAAAGACTTGAGGGTTAGGTCTCAGGTAACAGGCCAGTCCCCTAAGCAGGGGATTTGAGCATTTCATTCCTAATCGAGACCTTCTGCTTCTCATCCTGGCTGCCATCTCTCCCTGTCTCCCCAGGTGGAGGCACTTCTGAACACGCTGAACAACAGTGCCACTGGTGTCCCTACCGTGGTCCTCAAGAGACCCAACCAGTCCCAACCCCTCCCACCATCTTCCCTGCAGCGGTTTCTCCGGGCTCGCAATATCTCTGGCGTTGTCCTTACGGACCACTCTGCTGCCTTCCATAACCGGTAAGGAGCACCAGCCTCTTCCTTTCCTTGAAGAGTCTGTTTTGTCTTCTGGGTTCCTTCTCCCCACACCTCCCCCCAGCGGCCGGGGATGGAACCGGCACTGCAGAGGCTGTGGGCAGCTTCGCAACCCAATGCTCAACCGCTGCGCCACCGGGGAGGCCCTGAACATTTTTGGATTGATTCTGTGGGCAGCATTTTTTGATGGTAAAGGCTGGGGGGCTGTCCTCATCCCTTTCCTAAGTTCCACCTCCTGTAGCTCCCCCAGGAGCACCAAGGTGGTTGACCTGGTGGTAGTATAGATCTGTGAGCAGACCTGGTCCTGGTACCTATTAATCCTGTCGTGGCTACTCAAGCCATCCTTTGGAACAGTCAGGTGTTCTGACACTGTGTGGCAGACTCTCAGTGTCATCTTAGCTGTCCTCCATCACCACCCCAAAGACACAGGTGTTTCCCTTGTTTAAACAGTCTTTGAGAGGAAGAGATTTCCCTCTCCCTGGTCTTTTCTACCTTTCTGTCAGAGAAGTTTCTGTCTGATAACCCCCAATCCCCATTCACCTCCCTGTTCCCCACCTCCTGGCTCTATGCCCCTGGATGAATAGTGCTTGAGGGCACATGGGGGGCACTTGAGAAGGGAGGGGGCAGGGGCACAGAGTGTGGCTAGGTTGATGCTTGCTTTCCTGGCAGTTATTACCAGAGCATTTACGACACTGCTGAGAACATCAACATCAGCTATCCCAAAGGGAAGAGCCCAGAAGAGGACCTGAATGTGGTCACAGACACTGCCAAGGTAGCTCACCAGGCAGGGGAGGCCTGGCTGGGGCCTGGTGGGAGCAGGGAAGAGAGTTAGAGTATCAGATCTTGGGTAGAGGGATGACCACTCAGCTCCTATCACTGCCACAGGCCCTGGCAGATGTGGCCACGCTGCTGGGACGCGCCCTGTACCAGCTTGCAGGAGGCACCAACTTCACAGACTCCATCCAGGCTGATCCCCACACGGTAAGAGTGAGCAGGCGCTGACTTCTGCTGTCCCCAACTACACAGCAGCTGCCCTATCCCATAAGTCCCCCAGCATGGAGTTTGGCATGCCTGTACAGCCAGTGGGGACTTCTGAGGCAGAGAGCTCTGGGTGGGCCTATGAGCACCCAGTGAGCCAGCCACTGCCTCCCAAGCCCAGCAGGTCTGGGTCCCACCCTCGATGGATCATCACTGATAACTCTCTCTGGACTCAATTCCAAGTACTCTTGTCTCTGTCCCAATCGTAGGTCACCCGCCTGCTCTATGGGTTCCTGGTTAGAGCCAATAACTCCTGGTTCCAGTCCATCCTCAGGCAAGACCTACGTGCCTACTTGGGTAAGCAGCTGGTGTGGGGGTGGGACCCTTAGCCCAGAAAAGAAGTAGAAGAAAAGTCTTTTTGTTTAAATCTTTACTTTTTTCCCCTTTTCCTCTCTATTTTCTTTTCTACCCTTTTCCTTTCCTTTCCCTGATATTTGTTGGATCCTTTCCTCTTACCCTTTTCTCGGACTCCTGCCAATCTTGGATCATTCCTACCTGCATCCGTCCTTCTACCCACCCACCTTCCTGCCCTCTGCTCTTCTACAGGGGACGGGCCTCTGCAGCACTACATCGCTGTCTCCAGCCCCACCAACACTACGTACGTTGTGCAGTACGCCCTGGCAAACCTGACTGGCATGGTGGTCGACCTTACTCGAGAGCAGTGTCAGGACCCAAGTAAAGTCCCCACTGAGAACAAGGATGTGAGTGGCAGTGGGTGTCGGTGGTGCCTGTGGGGCCCTTTCTGGGGAATGTGGGATAGTCTCCTGGCCCACTTGGACCCAGGAGATTGGGATGGAGAGGTGGGCGGGGGGATGCAGCCCTTCGACTAAGAGTTGAAGAGACAGAAGCCTGGGTGGGAGCACGCCATCTGGGGAAAGATGTGAGGGAAGGCAACAGCCCGTGCTGTGGTCTGTCTTCTTTTGCAGCTGTATGAATACTCGTGGGTGCAGGGTCCTTTGGACTCCAATGGGACAGAGCGGCTGCCCCACTGTGTGCGTTCCACGGCACGGCTGGCCAGGGCCTTGTCCCCTGCCTTTGAACTGAGGCAGTGGGGCTCCACAGAATACTCTACATGGACAGAGAGCCGCTGGAAGGACATCAGTGCCCGGATATTTCTGATAGCCAGCAAGGAGCTTGAGGTGAGGGGGGAGAGAAGATAGCAGAGGCCACGTCACCTCCTCCTGCTCTTGTCCCTTCTCTTGTTTGCCCCATCCATCCCTTGAGAACCAGGGCGGCCCATGAGGAGGCTTGCTTTCCCTGGTAGTTAGAAACTTCATTCTGGGCCCAGGGGGTTGCTCTTCACTCCAGGGACCCAATCGCCCTCCATAGGCTGCCCCCGGGCTCTCCCGGCACCCTAGGGATGGGTCCCTCTAATACTAGATTCCTGTCACAGGTAAGTGAGAGGGCATTGCCAGAGGCATTAGTCTCGAGCCCTACAGTCGGATGCTTACGTCTAAGTCATACAAAACGGAAGCTGACCAGAGGCTCTAGAATTCACTTTTCAAATGGGGAAGCACTGCCTGCGATGGCCCAATCCATGGTGCTCTCGCCCCCTTCAGAGTCCCAGTGCCCTGGCCCCCAGTCCCGGAGCCTTACCCCAACTGCACTGAGTTCTGAGAGCACCCTCTCCCTGCCCCCACAGTTCATCACCCTGATGGTGGGCTTCGGCATCCTTGTCTTCTCGCTCGTTGTCACCTACTGCATCAATGCCAAAGCTGACGTCCTCTTCATTGCTCCCCGGGAGCCGGGAGCCGTGTCTTACTGAGGTGGACTCCAGGTTGTCCTGCCAGCTCTGCACTTCACTTCCTGGTCACTGTCCCGCTGGGACAGAAGCCACTAGCTTGTCACTGGAATCTCTAGGCCTGGCTCAGCCTGGGTCTAACAGAGAGGTGGGACTGCCAGCAAGAGACTGTGAGAGATAAACAAGTCGCCCTCCCCAGCTCCCCTCCTGGCTGCCATTCACTCTCCTCTTTCTCCCCCACTGCATTCCGGGATCACAAATAGAAGCACATGCTCCTATTTGACTCCCTTAATTCCCACCTTAACGTCCTCTTTTTCTCGGCACTCTTCTATCCTACATCTGTCCTGTCCAAGCCCCCAACCCCCACGCCTGCCCTACCCTGCCACCCTCCTGATCAGGGAGAAGAACTTGGGCTGAAGCCAGGAACAAGCCCCAGGAGGATGAGGAACCACAGGCCCAGCCTACATCCCTTCTCACTGTCCTCCTCCAGGCCCTTCGATGGCACAGCAGTGTGGGCACGCTGCTGGGTGGGTGTGCAACCTCCAGCCCACAGTGCTTGGTCATCATTTTTACTACGCTGTAATATCTATTTTTGTTGGGTCCCCCCACCTTGTTTTGGGTGTAAATATATAAATAGCAAGTTTCGTTAAAATAGGTCCCACACAACGTGTACCGTTACCTGTTTTTTCTGGACTGGAAGTCATGAAATTGTCACCTCACACACTCACTCCTGGGTCTCCAGAGGCCCATAGAAAGCTCTGTCAAAGGTAGTATGTCCACCCAGTTTTTCTTGTAAGAACAGTGTTAGCATAGTTTGTCCTCCTTCGTATTAGATGAGTGTTTATTTGCTCAGACTGGCCAGAGTACATTGGTGAGGGAGTCCACTCTGACCCTTGAGGGGAGAGACAGATAGACACCACCAGGTGTGAGCAGTATGATAAGTGGGACACTTACAGTAGTAAGTTAGGGGGCTCAGCCACCTAGAAGCATTGGGGTTGCACCTCAGAGTCCCTGGGTGGAAGCACAGAGCTGAGCAGAGGCCCAGCCGTGTTAGGGATTTGGAGTTTCTTGTGTGCCTGAACCTTAGGTTCGGCAGGATGGGCTGGGAGTACGGCCCACTAAGACCTTTGGGCTCTCTATTGATTGTGGTGGGTATTGCACAGACCAGACAAGAACTGTTTTGGATACTTCTAGAAAGAGAGCCTCTGGTCTTTGGAGAGTGTCTAACTCCTTGGGCCTTTGTGGAGACAAAATTCCAAAATAGAGCAGAATTGCTAAATGTTGGAGTCACTGAAGGGAAAGAAAGTCATAGGAGCACAGCTGAAGCCAGTTTTCTCCCAGTCCTGAGGGCAGTAGGGGATGCGGGACTAGCCCTTGGGTGCTCCCCTTAGGCCCCTACTTGGGCTATTTACCTTTCTATACCCTGCTGAGAGATGGTGGTTTTTCTGGAGGTTTCTCTCCAAGTTCCCTCGGGCAGGTTTGGGGTTCTGAGGTGTGGATAGGCACCCTGCTGTTCCCCTGCCTCTGAGCTGGAGCGGCTGTGTGCTCTGCTGGCGGAAGGGAGCCGAGCACAGCTGCCACGTCTGGGCTGCCTCCATGCCTCCCTCGGCCAAGGGGTCTCCCAACGGATGAACAGTGAGCTCCCGCATCCTGCTGGCTGCTCCAGAGGCAGGGAGGTGGCTGCCACCAGAGAGGGGATTAAGGGGAGGTAGGGGGCTGTGCAGCGCCAGGGATGGGTGGTTGGAAAGGAGGTGCAGATGCAGACCCTTCAGATACCTGTCCCCCAAACTGGGCTCTTCGTATAACTTTGGAGAGGTCATGCTCTGTGGGTGGCCTGACCCTCAGGCCCCCTTTCTGAGCCTGAGGTCTGGCTCTTCACCAGGTGAATCCTGTTCCCTAGAGACTACAGGACCTTGGCAGGCAGCATTTTGGGGCCACAAGCTTCTCAGTTCCTCAGCCTCCCTCTCCCACTTGCTGCAGGCCATCTGAAATATGTCATTTCCCAGCCCCCTCCCCAACGGGCTTTCCTCCCTCTCTGCGCCTTGCCCATTGCTGGTGTCTGTCATGCCTCTTCCACCCCATCCACGGGAAACCAGAAAATCACCACTAACCCCAGGGGCCAGCTGGTCCTCTCACCCCTGTGACACCTTGGCCCTCCAGACCAAGGCTTTCCCCAGCTGCTGTCCTTTTTCCAGCTTCTGTGAGTTAAGGATTTGCTCTTTTATGTTCCCACAGCTAGGCTGCTGCTCCCAAAGGTGCACCCTAGGAGGAGGCATTTTCAGCCAGTCTGGTGTCTGTACCAAGAACCCACCCTATTCATGAGGATTGTGGTTTTTTTGAGGGGCCAAATCATAAGACCTTAGAATGAATGTGTACCTCCTAACTCACTTGATTGGTGTGGGAAACAGCCCAGAGGAGTGAGGTGGCTTGCCCAAGATCACACAGCACGTTAGAGCTGAGACTAGGGTGTTTCTTCTGTCTGCAGCCACAGTGTAATAAACATTTATTGAGCACAACTCTAGGCAAGGCACCCAGCATCATGTAAAGAGCTGAGATACGGGGCCTTCCCTGGAGACTCAAAATATAGAGTCTGGATAGCAGGGTGGGACATGGTGTGAGAGAACAACTGAGCAACAGCACATGGAATTGCACTGTCAAGTCCGCTAAGCAGAGGGAGGGTCTGCCTGGAGTGGGCTGGCAAGGAGGAGATTCCTAATACTGGAGCACTTGGGACCAGATTTCTTGGTGTGCCACAAATGCTGTGCGACTTCGGATGAGTACCCTGCTCTTGGCCGGTTCCCAGGTACCGAGAGTAGTGGGGGTGGGGTGGGGTGCTTCTCTCTGATCCTACTTCTGATCCTAGTCAAGTCCTAAGTAGCCACTCCTCATCCTCTTCAGCCGCACAGTGCAGGGGTGATATGAAGGGGGATAAGACATCCATTTCCTATGGTGCTGGGTCAGTTCTACAGAGATCCTAGGGGTGCTCATTGTCCTCTAACCCAGGGACAGTAGGAATTTGGGGAAACTGGTATAATGTGGTAAAAAGGGGCCTATCACTCAGCAGAAATATGACAGGAGCTGCTGGAGTTGAACTTGGGAGGCAGAGACCTTTGAAAGACCCTGATCTAGTTAGGCCTCAGGCTTCCTGAGGTTCCCCCCCCATGCTCCTGCTAAAGAGAGGGGCACCTGCAGCCTCATCCCCAACCCAGGAAACCTGGGAGCAGAGTGGATGTGTATCCCTGGAGACCTGAGGTGATGCAATTGTGTGCAAATGTTTGTGCCTCGGCTAGCTGCTGCCCCACCACCCCACTGCGGAGGAGTCAGAGAAATTGGAGGGAAGAAAGAAAACTGAGATGAAAGAAGGAAGGGAAGTAGTGAAGCCTGGAGGCCGAATGCAGGGGGCTGGGCCCAAGGGGAGCATGGTCAGGCGGGTGTGGCTGGAGGGAGAGGCTGAGCTGGTGACAGATGGGTGGACACAAAGAGGAGAGCTGCTGGAGGACAGATGGAGGGGGGAGGGAAGAGGAGAGGCTGGGGGAGCAGTGGTCGGAGGCAGTAATGAGATTGGAGATGGGCTCAGAGCTGAGAGGTGAGTGGGGAGGAAGAAGAAAGGAGAGCGGCCTTAGGAGACAAAGGCAATGAGGCCTGGGGGGCCAGGGGCGAGAGAGGGCTCAGGGCTTTTCTGAAAGGGGGTTTCCAGCCGGCTGGCAGCAGAGAAAGTGACAGATTGTGTCCTTAGCCAGGGTGGAGACCCGCTGTCACCTAGAGGCAGAGAGGTGGAGACAGACAGACCTGTGAATCCTGTGGAAGCAGACAAGGAGAGAACTTTGAAGATGGAAGAAGATCCCAGATGTGCACTGATTCCCAGGCGTACAGCTGCTCCCACCCAGGCCCCTTAGCTGCCTTGCTCCTGCCACCCATGCCCAGCCAATCTTTCACCACATAACACCCGGGGAGGGTCAGGCAGCATGGCACAGCGAGGGTTAACACTGTCTGTTCTCCCTGCCAGCCGCTTGCCTGGTTGGGTCCCCAGGGCTCCCCACATATGTCACCCCCTCTCCTGCCAAACCCACTGCTTCCCAGCTCCTCCAGGCCCTCCCCCCAACCCCCTTAAGGACTGGGCCCAGCCACATCTTCCCCACACACCAGCCTGTGTCTTCCCCAGCACTCCCTCGAAGGCTGTATGGAGGTGAAGTGGTGAGGAAGGGTCTGAAAGTAAATGCTGCAAAATCAAAATGGCAATAAACCATAGAGCTGTCCACACTCCCACCCTGGACCTGGCCCCTTCTGCCTTCTTACAGCAGACACCACCACCCCCAACTTCTGGTTCTCCCTCCCTCCAGCCTGGGGCTGCTGGCAACCTGACTGACCCCAGCACTGTTCCCAGCCTCCCTCAGCCATAAAACCCCATAAACATGCATGCAGAGCCCCATGTACATACGGACTCTATATATGTGCACAGATCCCCACATATGTATGGAGCCCCATATACTTACACAACCCCGTAAATGTCTGTGCAGAGCCCCTGCCTCTTTCATATCGGGGTGCACAAAGGCTAGCACACAGTGCACCTAGCATATTCCATGCTTTATGTGACAAAAGTCCTAGGAAGAAGGCAGTGTTATCTCCATTTCACAGATGACAAAATGAACTCAGCCAAGGATAAGTAACCTCTCCAAAGTCACCAGGACTCAGATCTGCCTGCTGGCCCCACATTCACTGAATCTGCAGTACTCTCTACTGCTCCATTCTACGGCTCTTCTTATCACGTGGCTCGTGTTCTTTAGCTGCTCCCTTTAGGAGTGAAACCAAAACCCTGAATGAAGATGGCGGAGCCAGAGTCCAGGGTCCTGGAGGACAGATGCAGAGATGGCAGTGGTCCCCAGAGCACTCCTTCTCACCATCAAACCTTGGCTTGCCCTGGGGGACAGCTTGGCAGGGTGTCTGCATACAGAGGTCCCAGTGCTGAAGGGACTGAGCAGAGCAGCCAAGAATGAGGGAGTGGGCAGACTTGGATCCTCCCACCCACACACCGTGCCCGTGATTCCCTTCTACTTAGAGGCCTCTGGGTTCCCCTCTGTTGACCTCAGATCCAACTTTGGGGTCGGAAACAGCCTTATCTCTGTAGCTCTGTTTATTGCATCTCCCCACTTGTCCCGTCTCCAGGGTTTTCTGTTTTTCACCACTGCTCATATGTCTGTGCCCTGTCCCGGAGGCCTCTCAGAACCCCTTCCCACTGTCAGATCTGTCCATCCCTGAAGATGGGTGTCTCCCTATCCATTTCCTCGGGTCTCTCCCGACACCTCTCTTCCCCATAACTCGCCTCTGAATCTTTCCAAAAAGCCTTGGCAACCTGGCAGTTCTGCTCTCGTTCTCTGTTCCCCGTCTCCCCTATGTCTCCATCTCCTGCGCCTGTCTTCCCTTCTCTCTCTCGTCCCCATGTCTGCTACCAGTGCCTGGAGCTGCTTTCCCTTTCTGGGTCTCAGCATCACCCCATGTCCCCCTCCGCTTCCTCTGCCTCTTCTCCACCTCCCACTCCTTTTCCTCATCCCACTTTGCTCACCCCACTCTCCTGAGGCTCTTGGTCTCCCAGTCTTAGATGGGTAGAGGGCAGGAGGGTGGGGGAGGTAGAATTGTTGTTGCTGGGGGCTCATTAGGTGGAGATTGGTTTTTAATCAGCACCATGGCAATGATGATGCAAGAACGGAGATGCCACCTGATCCCCTGCCCCCACAACCCCCCTCCTCAAGCCTCCTTTCCCCTCCAGCTCAGCCCATCTGCTGGCGCCTGGGCACCTGTCTGGACCTGCCCAGGTGGGAGTTGGCACCGCCCAGACCTGGGGTGAGGAGGGTGGGGAGCTTGGGGAGGAACTATAGGATTCCCCTAGGGAATGCCTCACCCTGGGGAAAGCCCAGAAAAGGTTGATCAGCGACACAGAGCTGGCAGATGCCTCCAATTGCCAGAAGGTGGGTGGGCCCCTAAGTCAGGTCACTTAATCTCCATGACAACCAAAGAAACAGCTACAAGTGACCCCATTTTACAGAAAGGGATGGTTGAGGCTCAAGAGGTGGTCACTCCTCCGAGGTCACACAGCCAACGGGGCTTCTCTACTGCCACCCAGCCTCTCAGGCTCCGGGTCCTGCAGACGTGGTTCCTCCTGGAGGGAAACTCGGTGTTTCAAGGAAGACGCTCAACACTTGAGAGTCAGAGAGAACCTCAGATTGAGACCTGGCCACTATCTCTGCATTTCCCATGGTCCCTGCCATCCTCCAACATGCGCATACACACTCAGACACGCCTACACACGTGTGCATAGGCTGGAGGCAGTTGAGCTGTTGTGAACTTAATCACCGCCAGTTTGCCTATAATTTCCTATCTACTTTTCTTACTGCTCATTTGATGCTCCCTCCCACCCCATTCTGGGCAGCCTGGGCTTCCCGGCCTCCTCCCCCATGGTTCCCCCACCCCTCGTTCTTCCTACTGCTCCATGCCTCTCCCCTGAGCCCCTACCTCCTTTCTCCTAAAGCCTCTAATACCAGTGGTCTGGTTGGGAAGACCAGCCTAGAAAAACTCCTATGAGCTCCTATGTCCGGAGTTCAGCCCACTTCTGCCCTGGTGATGGGGTGGGTGCGAGAGTGGGAGCCAGGATCGGAGGGTATGAGGTGACTGAGTCTTGGGACCAGGGCAGGGACCCGAGCAGCAGCCCAGGCAGCCTGGCAAGGGGACTAGCTTTATGAAGGATGAGAGCTTAGTGCTGTCCGCTTGCTCTTTTCTGCATGTCTCTTGTAGTTATCGGGGAACCTTCTTCCCAGGGAAAGGAGACCTGGGAAGGGGCTGTCAAAGTCACGCTGGGACTCAGAATGGGACATGGGCACTTTAGCCTGGCTTGCTGGGGGCTCTTGTGTGGGAGGCAGGGGGGTTCATCTGTGATCTGCCCTGGCTCTCGCCCCAACCCCACCCCTTCCCCAGCTCTCCATTTCTGGCTTATGAAATATGCATGGGGAACAGATGTCCTGCTCCCCCACTCCCCGCCCCCCAGGGCCAGCCCCCGCCCCGTATTCCCGGGAGGGTTCCCAGATCCCTCTGCCAATGGCTGCCTGGCCTGGCTGTTTAATATTGATGAGGGGGTGCTGGGCCAGCCAATGGGGAGCTGGGGGTGTGTGTGGATCCCCATATATATACATAGGGCTGGGCCAGATCAGGTGTGATGTGTCTGAGTGTGCCTGTGTGTGAGTGTGTGGTCCCAGTACCTGGCTAAGCCCACCCCTCCTGCCAGGGCATTACATCCCAGCCATGGATACAGCCCTGGAGCTTATCTGCCCAGGAGCCTATGCAGCCACGCCACGCTACACTCAAGAGCTCTAGAGGGCTGGTCACTAACTTTGCAGACGGATGAGCTGTGTACAGCCAGAGGAGACTGGGCTGCTGGCTGCTCCTGTCCCGCCAGCTTGGACCCCTCAAGGGTCCTCCTAGGTAAAGGGGGAACGGTGGGTTGGGAGGGGTGGGCGTGTCCCTCCCACCCTCTGGTTCAGCCCCTTTTCCCCAACCTGCATCACTTCTCTCGCTGGTGCTGTCTCTTAGTCCCCGAACTGCCTCCTCCCCTGCTTCCCTTCCACTCTGTGTGCCTGGGTATTCTCTATGAGGGTGGGGATAGCAGAAATCGGACAGGAAGTCCTGTCCTGGATGCTTGGAATTGCTGCCCTCCCTGAGCCTTGGAGCCTGGAACTTTGAGCCAGAAGTGGATTTGGGGTGAGGACTTGGTGGGTAAATAGAGCTGCTGCAGTGGGGGAGCTGGGGAGGTTAGTGGGTCTGGGCAGAGAGCGGGTGGAGTTCAGATGAAGACAGAAAGGGGATGGAGGACACACAAAGTGACCAGGGATGAAGGAACAGAAGCCCAGGACCAGAGGGAACCGGCTGTGATGGTGTGTGGGGACCCCGCAGTATAACCCCTGAAGCTTGAGGGTGGGGAGGTGGCAAGAAACATGCTTGGAGAGCCCTGACTTTGGGGCCTTGTGCATGACTGTATGCCCGCTTATTCCTTTGGAACCCAGGATATGGATTGTGTTCTAAATTTCAGGACTAACCACCTGTGCTTATGTTTGGTTGAGTGCATATGTGCTGATAACCTTGCTCTCCCACCCAGCTTAGTAGCTGTAGACTACTTGAATCGAGCCTATCTTCTGCAGAGGGCAGGGCCAGGGTTTAAAGGGAATGGGAGCCAGGGCCAGTGACCCTGAAGGAGCCTCACCACTGCTGTTTCTGGCCAAGTCAGACTTAGCAACCCCTGGAGTAAAGCCTGCTTCCCAGCCTTTCCCAGGCCATGGTCCTACTACCTCACCCTGACTTCCTCTGCTCACAGGGACAAGCACGTTTAAGCCACGCCCTGTAAAGGTGGCCCTAAGAAACTGCCCATGGCCTGCTCTGTATTAGCTGCGCGTGGAGAACCAAGTCCCCTCTCCGCAATCTTCCCTGCAATCTCCAGGAGGGTGGAAGAAAGCAGCGGGGCAAGGCCCAAGGGTATTTAAGTCAGAGCTAGCCCAAAGGGGCTAGTCCTGGGCTGGCATCGTGGCCCAAGGGGATACCTTCCCACCTCTACTTGGGGACAGGATGGAGAAACTGGTGTCCGTGCTGGTGGAGAGGGTGTTGGGGGCTGGGAGGGACTGAGCCAGGGCGGCTGTGCTGAGCTCCATATGTCCCAGTCCAGGCCACAATGGGCAATCTGCGTGTTTATCCACCGCCCCCCCTCCCCCCATGCACACAGACGCAGCGGGGTGGCCAGGGACCCTGGAGGGAGGGGCTCCAGGGCAAGGCTTGCAGTTCTCCCTTACAACTGGGAAAGGTCTAGAGTCACAGCCAATCTCTCTTGGCACTATGGCTCTAGTTTTGCTCATTTCCTCCTCCTTCTTTTTAATTATTTAAAAAAATGTATTGTGGCAAAATAAAATTTACCATTTTAAATGTTCGGTATTGTTATGTACGCCTTCATTGTTGTGAAACAGATTTCCAGAACTTTTTCATTTTGCAAATTGGCAATGACACCTCCTGCTTTCCTCTCCCCCAGTCCCTGGCAACCACCATTCTACTCTCTGTCTTTATGATAGTGACTCCTTCTGTGTGGCGTCTGAGTGGAATCATTTGGTATCGTCTTTTTGTGACTGGCTTATTTGACTTAGCATTATGTCCTCAAGTGAATTCATGCTGTAGCAGGTATCAGGATGTCCTGCTTTTTAAAGGCTGAATAATATTCCATTGTAGGTCTATGTCACATTTTCCTTATCCATTCAAGCATTTGGGTTGTCTCCCTACCTTGGCTGTTATAAATAGTGCTGCAATGAACATGGGTGTGCAGATATCTCTTTGAGATCCTGCTTTCAACTCTTTGGGATAAATACCCAGAAATGAAATGGTGGGATCATAGAATGGTTCTATTTTTAATTTTTTGAGGACCTGCCATACTGTTTTCCATAGTGGTTGCACCAATTTACATTGCCACCTGCAGTGTGCAAGTGTTTCTTTTTTTCCACATCCTTACTAGTACTATTTTCTGTTTTGTTTTTCTTTTAGTGTAGCTATTCTAATGGTGTGGTGCTAGCTCCTGTCTTTTGGTTTCCATTTCCTCTGGTGATGAGTGAGGCTGAACATCTTTTCATGTTTGTTGGCTTTTTGATATCATCTTTGGAGAAATGTCCATTCAAATCCTTTGCCCTTTTTTTTTTTTAAGTTACTTGATTTTTTGTTGTGAAGTTGTATTCTTTATAATAAATATTCTGTATATGAACCCCTTAGCAGATATATGATTTCCGCTGCCATTCTACTAGGTTGATTATGTTCTTTGATGCTCCAGAGTGTTTACGTTTGGTGTCTTTCATCTATTTTTTTATTTGCTGCCTGAGCTTTCGGTGCTATAACCAAGAAATCATGGCAAGTCTGATGTAATAATGCTCCACCCCCATGATTGTGGGCCTTTCATTTAGGCCTGGAAGCCTCTTGCTTCCTTGTGTGCTGCTAGCAGTCCTGCTCATTGATTCCTCTCCTTTCCTGTAGCTCGCTTCCCACTTGCCATCTTTCCTCCTCCTTAATGCCCTCCACCTCCCTGCCTCTCTGCCCACCTCTCACCCTCCCCACCTTCTGCCCTTCTGCTCCACACTTACAGCACCTTCCCCCTCCCAGCCTATCTCAAACCTTCCCCTGCCCTCCCCAACTCTGGGATGTCCACTCCTTCCTTCCTCTCACTGTCTCCTTCTCTCTTCCAGGCTCCAGAGGGAACCCTGACCATGGAACCCTGAAGAGGCTCTGACCCCCTGAGCTCGGTGGCAGACCCCACCACCCCAGTCCCTTCCTGCCCCTCCCACAACCAGCTTTCTGGCTCCCAGAGGGAGGGGTGGGGAGGGGGTCCTGACCTCACGGGCCAAGGGGCTTCCATCATGATGCTCAACTCGGACACCATGGAGCTGGACCTGCCCCCCACCCACTCGGAGACCGAATCAGGCTTCAGCGACTGTGGGGGCGGGGCGGGCCCTGATGGGGCTGGGCCCGGAGGTGCTGGAGGGGGCCCAGCGCGGGTCCTGGAGCCAGGAGAGCCAGGCCGAAGAGATCTGGCCCACCTGAGCCGGGAGGAGCGGAGGCGCAGGCGCAGGGCCACGGCCAAGTACCGCACAGCACACGCCACGCGCGAGCGCATCCGCGTGGAGGCCTTCAACCTGGCCTTCGCAGAGCTGCGCAAGCTGCTGCCCACACTGCCCCCAGACAAGAAGCTCTCCAAGATCGAGATCCTGCGCCTGGCCATCTGCTACATCTCTTACCTGAACCACGTGCTGGACGTCTGAGTGCCCTACCTCCCGACCCCCTCTGCCTCACCAGGGTCTCTTCCATTGCCCCTCACCTGGAGGCGTCTCCTCCCTGAGGAGCCGGAACCCAGCGGACCAGCCATAGGGTGCCCAGTGCGGAGCTCCCACCCGAGCCCACCCACAGTTCTCATCAGCACTCCTACTAGGTGGCGTGGCCCAGCTGGTCAGAAACATTTTCTGGGGGGCAGTGTGCAGCTCTTGCTGAATTTACTAAGCTGGCCACACCTCGTGTACCCCCAGTGCTGCCATGGGCTGCTCCCTCTTCCAACTAGCCTTCAAATTCTCAGAGACCCCAAACTCACTCTCTCCCATCTTCTTTCTAGCTGTTCCAGCTTCTCCTACTAGGGTAGAGAGTGGGTGTCAGAATAGGAGGGGGAGCTAAGTGTGGGGTGGGTTTCTTCCTGCAGATTTCAGACTAGCCAGCTGGAGGGGTCCCCTGGGGGCAGGGGCACGGTGACACAGCTCCTGTGGGGGGATCTCAGTAGCTGGGAATCATGAGAACCTCCTTGTTGTCCTTCTTGTTCTGAAGCAGAGAACATGCAGGCTTTGGAATTTACTGGGAACTCTCTGGCCCTTCCTGCACCCTCCACCCTTACCTTCCTAATTTCCTTCCTCCTTGTGTGCAGCTAGAGAAAGGGATACCTAGGTCCTGGGGTAGGGGTGATCCCCCAAACCCAGTCCAGGGAATCAGCAGGAGACCCAGGCAACAGGGGTCCAGTTTTCACATCTCCTTCTCCACCCCAGCCCAGGAGAACGTGCGCACGCCCCACGCAGTTCCTCCTTCAGGTGCAGGAGATGCCCTGCTATTGCCCTCTGGGGATGCTCAGCCCTCCTGTCCCTAGGGCTGACATTTTTTCCCCTCCTTAAGCTGCCTTCCGCAAGGGAAGAGACCCCCCACCTCAGTTCAAAGCTCTCTGTGCCACCCTAGCCCCATGTTCCTGAGCCCACCTCTGCACGTGGCAGGTGCTCAGGGGTTGGGTGAGGAACCCAGGACCTGTGTGGAAGAACTGGGTCCACTGCACGTCCCATGCCCCTCCCCCTCACACCAAACTCCTAGTTCTACAAGGATATTATTTATTTACGTATTTATTTATTTATTCACTATTTATTTACTTATTTATTTATAAATATGACTATTTATTGCCAAGTTGTGCACTTTGGGGTTGAGTGGGGGCTCCTGGCAGCTTCAGCCAGGCCTCTCTTGCTTCTTTCCTGGCTATTCCTTTCCCTTTCTTGCTCCTTCTGCAACTCCAGGTGTGTGGGGGGTCCTCACACCTGCATCCCCTCCTCAGATCTTTCTGTTCTGACACCCTAGTCTTGGGGATGATGCCTCCTGCCCCCCAGCACCAGGGTGCCCAGATGTCCTTCCTCAGCTCCCTCCACCCTTAGACAATCCCACCCCAGTCCTGTGTGTTTTCTCTCTCCAGTCCTCCCCATGACCCTCAAGAGTGGGCCCCAGGGGTCTGTGCCCCATGTCCTGTATGTGATCCCCTCCTGTTGCATTTCTGATTTCATATAAAAAGAGAAATTAAAGTGACCTCTTTCCAGCATCAGGCATGGCTGTGGTTCACTCCAGAGGATTGGGAAGTAGACCTGCAGTAGGGAGGCTTGCATCCAGAGTCCTAGGCTTGGAAGGTACATATGTGAAATCCTGGGGTTTAGTAGACAGGGAAATGAAGACAAAGAGAAGGCAGTTAAAGAGTAAAGCAGTGATACACAGGGCTCAGATCTCCCCATCTGAAGCCCATGTACCCCTCCTTAGCTTGCACTCAATGACTCCTCTGGTGTTGTGCTTCTGCCCCTGCTCTTAATGGGCCTGAGAAAGAGCTGGATGTCCCAGTGGAACCCGGGTTAAATACACATCCGCGGGCCCACACTGCTGGGGGCAGTTGTGGCATGCAACATTGCCTTCCCTGTTATTGTCCCTAAGCTGGGTCAGAATTCCTTGCAATTTCAGTTCTTGGCCCATTTTTGTTCCCCAACCTTAGGGTGCTAGGGAGAACACAATGGAGGGCTTGGAGCTAACAGAGGAGTAGGAAAAAGGATAAAAAAGAATATCACAGGGAACCCAGAGGAGCCCCAGCCAATTTATAAAGGAGGAAACTGAAGAAGTCTTGCCCAAGGTCACACAGCTGATTGGGAGCAGATCTGGATGAAGTTCAAACCCACGTTCTTTTGGTCCTGTGCTTCCAGTGCCCTCTGCCTCCCTGAAGTGAGCTGGTCTGACAGGTGGCACTCTTATAGAACCCATTTTTAAATAGGAACATTGATAAACTAGAGTATTCAGAGTTACTTGGCTGCAAAGGTGCAAGGTCTGGAGAAAGAAGGAATCATGGAGAAGCTGAGGATATGTGTCTTTCAAGGAGTGGATCTGAGGGCACTTGATGCCCATCTTCAAACACTGACAAAAGAAACCAAAATAGACCCCCTGTGGGGCCCACCAGGCAACACCAGCACCAGTAGATAGATGTTATAGAATAGATTTTAACTCCAAGGAAACTTGGCAAACTTGGGGCTGTCTGTGGATGGAAGCACTTGCCTCAAGAGGAGGCCAGAAAGAGAGTCTGGAGAAGCAGCCCCTGGACACTGGGGGGCTCATTCCCACCTGGATGGGGTACTAGCCAGGTAAACTCAAGAGCCCTTCTAAATGTAAGGTTGTCAGAGAAGACTGAAGGTCAATGGGGGAGGGGCCAGCTGAGCCTTCCAGCAGTCTCTGAAAGTGTCAGTTTCCTCAGACTTGGGGGGAGGCATTCCCATAGGGAGGCCGACCTCCTTTTCCCACAGAAGTTAGACCTACTTTCCTCTGCCCAGAGCCTCATAAGAGGGATGATTTACCTGACACTGTGAGGACCTGAGGACCACAGGGGCAACACTGGAAGGGAGCTAGGAATCACATTAACTCCAGCGCCTTAGCTTTAAGACAGGTGAACTGCTGTCCACAGAGGTGCTCAGGAAGGTGGGCTGGGGGTAGACCCTGGACTTCTGTCCCTGCACAGCACCATGGTCCTCTGAGCTCCCAGCCTTCCTCTCTGTCACTTTGCCCTGCAGAAAGCAGAAGGGGTTACTGGGCCCTCCCCTCAGGGGTCCCTCAGGGCCAGGGAGTGGTGAGAGGGGCAGCTGTTCTGCTGCTAGCTCCGAATTTCTTCAGATAATCAATTGGCCTCGCTGCCTCCGCTCCACAGGACCGGAGAAGGAAGTGCTGGGGAGGGAGGAGAGGGGACCAGCACCGGAGAGGAGGCTGTCAGGGAGATGGACGTCCCCAGTGGGGGCGGAAGGGAGGGTGAAAGCTGAGGCTAGCAGGCAAAGGAGGGAGGCAGTGTTAGAATGGGGAGGCCAACTAAGACCTCATCTCCCATCCTCCACATCAGCAGGGTAGTTGTGGGAGGAGTGGTTGGGGAGTACCAGGTGAGTGGGATTCTGGTACCTCACCCCTTTCACCTCTAGTCCCTTCCCTTAGGGCCCCTTCCAGCTGTCTGTGCCTTCATCCATCCCATCATGGGTCCCTGACCACACGTCCTGTCTGTCATAACTGCTCACTCTGCCTGTGTCTCAGCAACCCCACCCCTGTGACAGCAGGGTCCCACGGCTTGAGTGTGGGAGGGGGAGCTCTCAGCCACTTGTGCCCTACACACACACACACACACACACACACACACAGTGGATGCTGCCAGGCATCTGGCCCTTTGTACCCGTACAATGGAGGCCCTGCCTGTGCTCCTCTCCTGTCTGAGCACTGGGGTTCCTCTCCCCCATCCCACCCACCTCTTCCCTTCTCCACCCCAGTGGGTGCCTTCCTTCTCAGCCTTCTCTTTATACCTTCTCCCCCACCCCCAACCCCACCCCCACTGCCACATCTTTCTGCTTGTTTTATGTCTTTTCCTGAACTCCTGAAATCTCACTGGGTGAGAATGGAGGGCAGGAGAGAGAAGCTGAGGGCAGAGCCACAGCCCTCAAATGTCTCTTCATGAAGTGAAGGGGGGAGGGAATGGTGGTATGGGAGAGGGGGGGCTGGTGTGACAGATTGTGCTAAGAAGAGAGAAAGCCTCTCTTGGCAGGCAGCCAGAAGCCCTGTGTCCTAGCCCAAGTCACCTTCATTCATGAGCAGACCACGTGACCTCTCTGGGTCTCAAGGTTGTCATCTGTAAAACGGGAGACCTGCCTCACAGGGGTGTCATGGTGTGCTGGTGGGGCTCACCACAGTGAGGGCTCACTAAGTGGCACCTTAGGGGCAATAAGCAGCAGGGCCGACCTGTGCTGTTGCACAGCTTCTGCACTGTACAAGGTGCCAGGCCAGGACCAGAGAGGGGCCTAACATCCAGATCTGAGTACCCCCCAACCTTGATTGTCCCCGAACCAACAAAGATGCAGGAACCTCCGAGAGGCCTGGAATCTGGCCCCTCAGGTGGATACTTGAGCATCAGTCAGGAGCCCCGACCATCTGATAGAGTCGGGAAGGACAGGGGCTGTGAGGACAGCAGAGGAGACATCTCTTAGTTTGGCCTTCTCCAGAAAGTTGTGCCGAGTCAAATTCTGAAATCTGCTAACCTGAAGTTGGAGATGCTGCCGCTGCAAAGAGGAGACTGAAGAGACAGAACAGAAGGGATACCTGCCCGTCCCTCTTCTCCCTCTTGCGGGTCTCCAGCTGCAGTCTGATCACCGTTGGTTGGATGCTGCCCCCTGCTGGCCAGGATCAGACACAGACTCACCCTTTCCTCTGCAGATCTGCCGGGAGACTGCAGAGACCAGGCTGGGGTCAGGGGAAGGGCACGTGTCGTCCAAAATTCTGTTCTTTCCAGAGGTTTCTGGAAGGTCAATGAGGGCTGACTGCTGACCAGGGGCAAATGGAAACTGGAATTCACAGACGTTTCATCTACATATGTTAATAGTTTATAATTTTTAGATCCATTTTTCCCCATCTCTGTTGATTTCATTAGTATTGTGTGTGCCTGTGTGTGTGCAGTGTCTGTGTCTGTGTCACT